ATCATCGGTCGAAGTTTTGCCAATTAATTGTCGATATATTCTTAATTTCTCATAAGACAGTAAATGCTGTGAAGCATTACAATTTGATTTTGTACAACGACAAATATTCTCCAAGGCAAAAGCGTGTAAAAAAAACTCTTCAGCAACACCATGGAAAGCTCTGTTTTTGCTGTTGCTTGTTGTAAACAAGTTCAACTTGACTCATGGAGATGAGGAAGAGTTAAGATCGCTGACGACCATCCAGCGATAAGATCTCTCACTCTGCTGCAAAGTCTGAAACCAGAACAGCGCATTAAGCCTCACTCTGATGGGTTTTAGAGAACTACAGAAAACAACTTTTTAACTTTTTATCCACCTTTTTAACTAACCTATTCAACTTACATTTTCATTAACGTATGCTCATCAACTTTAAAGACAGCACAGTCTCTGAGAGTACCGAACATCAGAGGGCTGCATCAATAATGTTCTGCCAGTAACTTCACTCATTATGCTGCTTATACACACCTATGGCTGAAACCTAAAGATAAATTCATCAGTACAACTGGTAGCTACATTCATGCTCCATAGAAAGAAACATGCACAATGCAAATTTAAAATAAAATACCCACATTACAGACATATTAGTTCAGAAAACGTTTTTTTTTTTTTTTTTTTTACTGATGTATATTGTGTTTAATGCTTTGTTGCATGATTTTGTTCTTGAAACTTCCTCTCTGTTGTAAAGTTAAACAACTAAGTGTTGTAAAACAGGAAAATGTTCTGCCTGTGATTCATAGCTTTGTTCTAGTAAGTGTTAAGGGACCAAAAAAGAAGCTATTATATTCATTATATAGATATATTTTTTTTAATTAATCGGCCGATTAATCAGTTATTGGAATTTATTTTTTGCCAAATATCGGAATCGGCATCGGCCTCAAAAATCGGTTGGGCCCTAATTTTCATACAGTGGAAATGATTCACAGTATTATTTTTACTACACTATAATTATTGAAATGTTTATAGAAATTATATATTGTCTGGAGCAAACAATCTCTGAATTGCTTTTCCAATTCTGTTTTGAACAGATTTGATAGTTTTCAACAAAATGGATGAATCTGATCCGAGACTTGTACAGTGGGTTGAAAGATTTACAACCATCTGCATTGCTCACAGTTTGTCTCCACACAACACTGAAGAGCTTTTCCTCAAGAAGCTGCAAGGACTAGTCACAAACTTACAGTGGAGCCCAGAGGATGTCACTAAGTTGTTCGAGGCTCTTCTGCAGCGATTTGAATCAGCATCAACAAATGGCAGATCAGATCTCCTCACATGGATGATAGAAATGTTGCACTGCATAGAGATCAATTACATCACATCCAGTTCCATGAAGACAGGCTCAGGAAGGACACTAATGGAGCTGGTCCAGGACAAAACTATAACAGATGAAAAGGTCAAGGAACGCTTAACTTATGAAACAGACAAGACACTGGATGAAATTCTTGAAGAAATACGTCAAGAAAAGTTAAACCAAGTTGATGAAGAACTGTTGTCTGATGTAAGAGATATTGTCTCATGTGTGCATGAACAAAAAACTGTGCAGAAAGACAGATCAGAGTGGAGTGAACTGAAAACAATGTTGAAGAAGCTGTGTTGGGCAGTGGAGCAAACAGCTAAATATAAACCACGACTGACGCAGATGGTGAGCTGGTGTCTTCTGGCTCTTTCCAAAACCGGGCGGTTAATTCAGGTTGGCACTGGAGAGGGGAAGTCATGCATCGTGGCAATGTTTGCAGCTTATCGAGCTCTGAGAGGAGAAAAAGTAGACATCATGTCGAGCTCACCAGTTCTGGCAGAGAGAGATTTAAAAGACTGGAGAAACTTTTATAAAAAGTTGGGTATCAGTGTAGACTGCAACACCAACAAACTAGAGTTAATTTTTAGTCAAGACTCCAAGTGTTATAAGCATCAAGTTGTTTATGGTACTGTGGACCAGTTTGCTGGAGACTGGCTTCGGCAGCACTTTAACAGGACGGACACATTTGGGGAAAGGACATTCCAGTGTGCAATCGTGGATGAAGTGGATTCATTGATGCTGGACAAAGGTCATCACACAGTGTATTTAGGTAGTGACATGCCTGCTTTGCAACATCTCAACCCACTGTTGGCCTTCATTTGGGCCACTGCTAATCAGTACAGTAAGATTGGTGCAGAGAAGACTGTGGGGCGTAAATACCCCTTTCACCAAGTTGTGCTTGAAAACATCAGAGGAACTGATGAGCTCACTGTTCTTCAAATAGCTGAGGACACAGGTGTACTGGCAAAGGGCTCTGTCAAGGACCTGAGAAGGAACCCAAACCATTTTACTGCAAGAACTGCAGGACTTTGTGCGAACCAGTTGGCTGAGTTCTTCAAGGCAATAGAGAGGAGATTTCCATCTCACCACTTTGACCTCTACTGCTTAAACAGCAATGGAGCACTGCAGGAACTGAACAAAGCATCACAAAGGGACACTGAGGAAAGACAGAGGGTGTCATTGCTGTTAATCAACGGTGGCTGTTGTCAGTACATCTACTCTGATGGAAACAGTGTGCTGAGCGCTGCAGAAGCAGAAGTAAAGCGTGCTCTGCATTTCACTCCATGTGAAGTGAGCCAGGCTAAGAGTAGCTGCTACGTCCCGGGCTTCTTGTCAGATCTGGTTGAATCTAAACTTAAAGTCTGGATTGCAAATGCATTCTCTGCTCAGACCATGACAAATGATCATGAATACAGCATTGAGACACATGGAATAGTGCCTGTGGACTACAGCTGCACAGGTGTCCTGGAAAACAACATGAAATGGACGGACGGACTTCATCAGTTTCTTGAAATGAAACACGAGGCAAAGCTGAGTGACATGACAGCCATCACAAACTTTATGTCCAATGTTGGCTTGCTTCAAAAGTATGGAAATCAGATCTATGGACTGTCTGGAACTCTTGGCCAACAAGCAGAGACTGAGACTTTACAGAGAATCTATGAAGGCATCAAAACCTGTCAGATACCTTCATTTAAACGCAGAAAGCTGTTTGAGGTTGAAGGAGTGGTTGTAGAGGATGAACAAGAATGGATGAAGAAGATCTGTGATGTTGTTACTGCACAAACCAGCCCAACGCCATACAGGGGTCCAAGAGCTGTGTTGGTCATCTGTGAGACCATCAAACGAGCAAAAGCTGTCCATCATGCTCTGGGAGGTAACGTCCCAAACAAAAAACTTTACATAAACAACAACATTGACAATAGTGAAATCTTTGTCAAGAAGCTTGAAGCAGCAGAAGTCATCATTGCCACAAACCTTGCAGGTCGAGGAACAGACCTTAAGGTTTCTGACGAAGTCAGAACAGCTGGAGGTATGTTTGTGGTGCAGACCTTTCTGCCCCAGAACGCCCGTGTGGAGGCCCAGGCCTTTGGTCGCACTGCCAGACAAGGATCTCCTGGATCTGCTCAGCTCATTGTCTGTTGCAGTCATCTTTCTGAGCCACTTCAGTTACTAGTTTTAACAATGAAACGTCTATCTCTTTTTGAAAATATACTAGATGTCGCTTCATTTCATCAAAATATGTTTGTGATGAAACTGAGGTTGTATCAGAGAAGCCACAGTAATGTTCAAGCTAAAGCAATGACTTATGCACTGCCACAAATTTTGTCTAAAAAATCCAAGTCAGAGATACAGATAGCCAAAGAGGTCAGAGACGAGTCAGTGGCTGAAGAATTATCCAGTTACTTAAAGTGTGTGATCCCAGAAATGAAGAAGAAGGCAGATCTCTTCAATCAGTACCTGGTCGTTCTGGATGAGGTATACAGCATCAGCAACAACAAGCCAGCAGCTTCAGAATTGTCTGCACTGAATGAATTCTGGGGTATGTGGCTGCTCACAAGCTTCAATGAGAAAGACTCTATCACAGATCTGAAAAGGAAACTGTGTACAGACCTCAGCATCGCCAGGCAAAGACTCAGACAGAGAGAGTCCCCCTCATCCAACATGTACCACTACATTGTCTTTGGCAACGACCTACGTGAAAATGGAAATCTTGCAGAGAGCATCAGAATGTACACTAAAGCCATAAACGTGGACCACTGCTGGGCAGCAATTGCCTACTACAACCGTGCTTTCACATCTCTGATCCAGCAAAACTCACATCAGGATCTGGACTGCATCGAACGAGCTCTGGAAGATTTGCAAAATGCACTTCAGTCTGTTGAGCTTCACTGTGAACAGCTTGATGTCACTCAGAGATACTCCAAACCACAAACCAAGAACCTCTGCAGTGATTTAATCAACAGGTTTGACGGACACATCTCGACCAGACGCAGAGTTTTGGTGGCTTTCAAGGAAAATATTAAAGAGGCCACAAAGCAGGTTGACAAGGCAAGAGCCATGGGTGGGAATGTAGAGGTGAAGGAGAAAACAGTCGATTTTCTGGTTCCCTCTTTGGATTTTCTGCAATTGGTAACCCTTTCCATGAAATCAGTGCATGCCATTTATTGCAGAGACATTCTGAGGATCCACCAGCTCACCAGCAGTTCCTCCTTGGACATTCTTAATGAACTCAACCATCTTAAGTCTCTGGGCCTGACTCATGTCTACAACTTAGATGCAAGGTTCTCTCTGCGTGGCTTTTTCTCAAGGATAGGTCGGTTTGTAGGTAGAGTTTTAAATAGACGGAGGGTATTTAGAGCCTGAGCAAAACATTCAAGCAAACAATGTTGTGAGGAAAACTTTTTCCCCATAAACTAAAAAACACAGCACAGATCAGACATGCTGTGGGACTCTGAGTTAATAGTTTTGGTTTGTTTGTAGTTATGCTGTAATTGTGTTGAAATTCATCACCTTTAGAAATCATTTCAATACTAACTGAACTAAAAACACATTCGCTCTCCACTGTTACAGACACATTAAAGGGGAATATTCTTTTTACATTTGTTATCAGTTCAAATGGCTAACAGATATATACATTATGCAACATACAGGGTTCTCCCCCACATCATGTGTTCATTTTATTGAAGTTTTTTACTTTATTTTGATGAAAGATCTATTCAATTGGGTGTTTCTTTGATTTATATATATGTATATGTATATAGTGGCGCTGTTTTCCCCTTTATTTTTAACATTATTAATTAAGCATAAAAATCAATTTACTTAAGCCTTTGTTCTAACTGTATTTAAACGACTACTGACGAGTTTCAGAATTAATTTATCATAAAACAAAAACCTTGAAAGGTAGAAGCAACAGACAGTACTTGTACACTGCACTATATGGTACAGCATTTCTGTACAGTACAATGTTATGAACAATGCCCCTCACTATCATATGTAGATAAAAGGTATGTTTCAGTGAACACCTTCAGAGGGTACTGAAATCATAATGTGTCATGCCCTCCACCTCTGGCTCCGCCTAGTGGCAGCTCTTTCCCCCTCTCTTCCTCCTCCTCCTCCCTCCTGTCCTTTCTCTCCAGGTGGGCGTGAGCTGGCAGGTGTGTGAGGTGTGGACAGATGCAGTGACTCAGCAGATTACCTGAGTGCCTTCACCTGCGGCGGGGCGTGGTCAGCAATCATCTACTCACCTCTCCTCCCCATAAAAGCTGACTTCAGACCACCACACGATGCTGGACTGTAAACCACTACTCAGTTAGTGAACCCTGGCTCTGCTCTGATCTGTCTTGTGGTCCGTGTCTGTTACCTTGTTCTAATCCGAGTTCTGTTTCTGCTTCAGCTGGATCCACCACCGCGCCTCTGACGATCTGGATTGTTCATCATCACCATCTCCGCTGGACTTCTGGCCTCCCAAACGGTCTCCTGGATCGTCCACACCTGGTCACTGCATCTGTCCACCACCATCAGCTTCCTTCACCTGCCACGTCGCCCACCTGTCAGCAAACTCTCAAAGTTAACCTCCTCTGTCATTGTTATTGTTAAATATCGAGGTTTTGTCTTTCCTGATTAGTCTGGATTCTTGTTTATACCCTCCTGGTTTGGTGGTACCAAACTTAGGTTGTGTGTCTGCCAGCTAAAGTTAAAATCTTTGATCCTTGTTAATTCCGTCTGCTTAAACGCATTTAGTCCACTGCGCCTTTAGGTGTCAGTATTGTGCTTTTATGTTACCTTTGACCTAGTTTCTGCTTCCTGTATTATCTTGTAAATATTGTAAATAAAATCTTTATTTTTGAAATGTTCTGCCACATCTTTCTCTGTGCCTGAGTCTCAGTCTGAGATGTGACATAATGAACTAAAACTACATGTGACCTGGGGAAGATGCACATCCTGAGAATTGATGGCTTAGGGTAATAGTTATAAATTTACTTTTTTTTTTTAATTACAATATTTAAATTCCTTATGTAGTAATATCAAATCAGCAGGGATGCTCAGCCTACAGTAGCGAGAATCTTGTCAAGGGGAACATCTTCCCTCAAAAGTCCTACTTTAATATTTTTACACATCACAAAAAAAAAAAGTATTTAGCAAGGAAACTATAATTCAAGAAACGACCTGACATGAAAATTGACTTATATCCTCCATGCAACTCATTTGAATCTTATTTTTCCAAGTTTTGGATTTGCATTGTTCAATGTTGAGCTTAATGTTTGAGAGCAGACTGGACTTGACCATGCTACATCCTGTAATATAATAAAACCAATTATTCAATTTCCTTTTTTTTTAAGTCTAAATTAAAAAAAATAAATAAATCTAACTTGTGTGGAAAAGTTGCATAATTTTCAAATATTAGACTTGTTTATACACTCTTCAGTAATAATAATAAAAAAGCCATTTAGCAACCAGTTTGTACAGTTAGCTAACATTATATAGGCTACTTGCTAACTCGTCCTTTAAGGCTCTGCTCAAAGTAAACCCAGTTGTTGAAAACTGAAGCGCACACAAAGGGCACTATTTTTACATTGCTGACAAGTATAAAAAGTTAAGTTTTTTAAAAAAAAAGTGTTGGAATTACCTGAGTGGAGCACAGCAAAACTCTGGCAGGTGTTTCTCATTTTAAAGCTAACGTCTGATTTCTTCTTCTTCTCTCTAGAAGCTTCTCCGCAGCGCTGCGCTCAGTGCTGCCACCAGCGGCCACATGCGGTACTGCAGCCTTTTAATATCTACACACTAGAATAGAGAATAGGATAGAATGCCTTTATTGTCACTATACACAAGTACAATGAGATTGAGAGCAGCTCCTTCAGTGCCACATATAATAAAGTACAAAATAAAGAGCAAAAAAATGAAAAATAGAAGAGAATAGAACAGATTTAAGTATAAATTAAAGCCGCAAGCGCAGTGGACGGGTCCTCGCCCTACGCTTGTCGGCCTTCGCGCACGGCGGGACTGTGATCCGGCATGTCGGAGCAAGTGTGGCCTAGTTACGAACCACTTCCTGTTTTGTGGCGAGCCGCGGCGGCGTGCGTGTGGGCCGTGGTGGAAACACGCTCTGGCTGAGACTCGGAGCACGCGTGTAAAATTTCAGGCCGATTGGAGCACAGACACAGCAC